CATATGATTGATAAGAGAACAGCGAAAAAAATTTAAAATAAAAAAAAGTGACAATGTATTCAACGAATATTCTCAGACGTTGTACTCGTATGTCTTGTCAAAATTAAACAAGATTGTTTAGAATGAATAAATGTCATTACAATTGTAATACATATTTGAAGGAAAGTGATGGTAAAGAATACAACAAGAATAATTTTGATTAAATATGCAGAATCTTGACATCGATCTGGACCTAAGAATATTTTATAACAGGAATCTGAAGCGAGATTGATAGATGAAAGTATTAATGCTATTATAGAACTTATAAACATAGCCAAATGAAGTAATTTCAATCGTTGTAACGAAGATAAATGCTTTTGTGGATGACTCATGAATAGAATAAGATAGATTCCTAATATAATACTTAAAGCACCTGACCAAAGACCAGTGAATGAATATGATTCATTCATAATCGTTAGAATAACATCGCATACGATTGCTGCTAATCCAATAACCATATGAACAAGGCCTGTTCCCAATAAATATCGAGTATATCTATTTGGTAAATTAATAGTAATAGATCCATGCGAAGATGGTCTTTCTTGATATTCTATTCCTCTATCAGGTACAACATAAATTGATGGTGTATATGATGGTGGACTTTCATAATTATTCGTTATCGAATAAGCTGGTGGTGGTCCATATAGCTCATCTTTTGACATTGCCCAGTTGCTTACCATCATGTTTCGTTTATTTTATACAATCGAATATAATAAATGAGAGCAATATAAAAAAAAGAAGAAGTGGAAGACGAGGAAGAAAAAAAAAGAAAATGGTAAAATCAAGATCACAGTAAAAATGAGAGTGAAGCATAGCAATGTATGAAAAAAAATGGGTAAGAGAGAACATAGAGAGAGAGAAAAAGAAGGTAGGACGATGTGAAGGTCAACACGCAATATGTGCGATTTGAGCACGTCGAAAGGATCATTACGATGAAGTATATACACAGTTTAAGGACACAAGTCCGACGACCAATCACATTGTTTTGATTGAGAATTAAATTTCAGTGATGCTGGACATTTCATTGGAGAAATGATATTATTTGAACATGCAAAATATTGTGTACAGTCAGATACATCAGCAAAGATACCATCTGGCATTGGACATATGAATTCTTGAATAAGAAAAAAAAAGAAAAGAAATTTTTTGTAATTGAATCATAAAATAGACCAATTCTTACTTGGTTTAGTTTCTGATGTTGTTGCTTCTAAAGTTTCTTTATTTTTATTGACCTTTGGTTTTGAAGAACAAGGCTATTGTGATAAAAAGAAAGAAAGAAAGAAATAACTTTTGAATTCAATTTCATTTTTTGTGTTAATGACATTCTGATAAAAATGTCTAACTTTTGATTTATGATCAAAGAACTTCTATTAATTCCATAAGAATGAACACATTATTCGATTATTACATTTCTTTTTTTATTTCAATAGTTCATTGACTGTGAACTATATACGCACTATACTATTACGTATATAATCAAGAAAGAAAGAAAAATGTATTTACTTACTAAATCTTCTTGTGTACATGCTTTCAATCGTTTTGAAAAACGCATATTGGATGGACATTGTAAATGTGCAACTGGTGCATCAATATTTGGTAGACATACATAATAGTAATGACAATCAGCTTCATCAACGATTAAATCTTTTGTTTTTATACCTGAACATAAACCAGTTTTTTGTTTTGAAGGAGTTGTCGTTGTTTCAATCGATGGAGGTGTTATTGGTTTTGAAAATAATCCAGATATAACAGATGTAATAGGATATTTACCACGATTACAAAATTTACCGGAATAATCATCCATATCAATTGAATGTACAAGTACACCACCTAATTGAGATTGTTTAATAAATTTTCCTTTTAATTCAACAGTTCCATTAACAATTCTTCTTGGTAATTGTAATGATTGTGTATCATCAAATAGAATTAAATTATCTTTCTTATGTGCCATAACTATAACACTTTCATTACTTAAAAATCTTTCATAATTATTCGATTGAATAGCATTACAAATTTCATAAGATGCAAGTATGCCTGGTATATGTGTGATACGTCCTGGTAAACCTGAAGCTAAGATATTATCACCAATAGAATATTTATTTTCATTTTCTAATAAAAATGAAAGACCATATGTTGGAATACCCATAATCAATTTTTCTTTTGGTACATCAGATGAAAGAATAAAGGCAAGTATTGAAGCCATTGAAAAATCTCCAATATGTTTATCTGGATTAGCTTGAATAAGTGCAGCAAGACTATTCCATGATTGAAGTTCTTTAAAATTTCCAATGGATTTTTCATCAAATGGAAGAACAATAAGATAATCAACAAATTCATATAAAGCAAGTATTTTATAAAGTAATTTTTGATCTGATGCATCAGCTGGTGATTGAAATGATATTGTTATCATATATTTATCAGGTAAAATTGATTTGATTGTCTAAAAACGAGAAATGAATTTTATTTCTTCGAAGAAAAGAACATACTGCAATTTGTTTAAGAAAATCGTGTGTGATTGTTTTTGAATCCATACAAATATTAATGCCATCAGCTTTATTTTTTTCAAGAAGATCTTCCCATTGATTAATAGTTATATTTTCATTGGAATTAATCGTAAGGAGAAATTTTAAATCTGTATTTTGACTTTTTAATTGATCCGATACAGATGCAGAAAATAACGAATTATTATGATCAATTATTATATGTGTACAAAGGTTTGAATCAATTTGATCTAATGTAAATTGTGTTGAACCATAATATGTATCAGCATTTGAATTTACAGAACAGAATACATTATGCACTTGATTAGTACGAACTCTTTTATTATCAATAGATTGTGTAGTAGTAGTAGTTTCTTGAATAGTATTTTGATTAGAAATACCAGCAACAGCATGTAATAATGGGTAAGGACCATTTCCACATCGTCCATCAACATCATCTTGTCCTAGTGATGATAATGTCACACCAGCTAATCCTTGTAAATTAGCATAGCGAGCCTAAAATCAAAATAGTATTGAAAGTAATTTATATCTTTAGAATATTTACTATCAATGCAACATCATCAACTGTATCACAACTTATCCATTGTTTCTTTTTTGAATTGAATGCATACGATGAACGTGTTTCTTGATTATAAACTTTAGTAT